TTTTGCCAACAATTTACGCTGCATTCGAACGTTGAGCGACCAGAAGGCAGCACAAACTGCCAACAGAAAGTCCGCCTCTTGTTTTCACCAACGGTAAGGTTCGGGAAGGCGAAATCCTCCAAAGCCATTAACCTCTGGAAAATGGGGAGCATGATCCCACTGCTCAAACTGGGGAAACCGGCCAACAAGGGGGAGTCTTATCGTCTGATAACTCTCCTTTTCCCGGTAGCGAGGACACTAGAGGCCTTGCTATTCCCGCACTACACAAACCAGCTGACCCCAGCGAGGCATCAGCATGGGTTCGGTAAAGTGCACAACACAAGCACTCAGAAAACACGTGGTCTAAATCGAAACCGCCCCTGTGAGAGAACAGTTCTCTCAAAGGCGTTTGCGCTACTAGAATACATTGGGGCTTCCTGGTGGTCGGGGAATAATCTCAGTGGTCGACATTTGTCAGCCATTTTTTAGAGACAAAACCAGCAAAGCGAGGATAATTAAACAGAAGGCTTGACAGGGTGGTGTCCTTTCCCCGCTGCTGGTTAATTTTTGTATAGTAGATGTGCTAAACGAGTACCCGGCATGCGGAGAGACACCCCATGACTCGAGTAATCTCTTGGCATGCCCACTAAATCCCACCCAACTAACGCCTGTCCCTATGGAGAAACCCCATCGAAGATGTACGCTTCCTGGGTATACCGTTAGTTTAGCTTGACGACACCGATTGAGGGGCTAGCCGATCTAGGTGGGGTTGTTTTAGCCACTACTACAACAACAACAACCACACTCAGCAGCGTTTCAGCGAGAGTGATAGAATACTTTCGTTGTTCAAAAAGATATCTTGAAAAAATGCATTAATGTGCTGACAAGAGATTGGCCAAGGCTAAGGGCCAAAATTCACAGTGCGTAGTCAACTCAGAATCGGCAGTTAACTACAGAATTTCAGTACAAAAATAATGGCCCTAAGAAGCAAATTAAAATATTATGGCTAGAATATATGTACATACAGATTTGAATTATGAGGTTTTTTAATTTATTATAGATTTTCATACTTACGAGTACTGGAGGTGGGGTCTAGCGGAGAAAATTTAAATAGCTACCCAGCCTATAATGAGTTTACATATTATGTACACATGTACATATCGCCCGCC